GCGGGATGTCTGGGGAGAAATGGAGGCATTAACGGTTCAAGAAGAGAAGAAAACTGAGAGCGAGGAGACGGGAAGGGACGCTTCCTCTAACTGCCGATTCTGCCTTGGTCTGGCTCTAATGCCCAATTTGAAGGGCTAGCAGAGTAGGTAAAAATAAAGGGACTATTCCTTGGATTTTGTAACATCCCGGGGGACCCTATAAACCCTGATATCCTTTGTAAATCAGAGAGAGTTGGGACCAGATGTAGGCTCAAGACAGAGGGCTTTGGGTTGGGAAAGTATATTGGAGAACGTGTCCATTTCTGGGGCTGCCTCCGTATCTGCAGCCCCATGGAGCCCAGAGCCCACGGCTTGGAGAGGAGGTGGCATGTGACAGCACCACTGGGCACCACTGGACCCACGAACAAGGGCTGGTTCCTCTCCAGGGATGATGCTCACAGGTCCCTGTCTACCCCACCTCGGGGCCAGCGCAGCCGTAGGACAGAGCCAGGCTGGGGCTGTCAAAGGTACAGCACGCAGGAAATGTAAATAAAACAGCAACTAGCAGATGCCCTTTGAGGAGTGGTGCTCTGTGACTGCATGGTCATTTATTCTTAACGAGGGGCCTTTCAGTGTCAGGAAGCAGCCAGATCCAGACCTGCTGCTGCCAGGGAACTGGAGCCACCCCGCACACCTCATCCCTGAGCCTGCAGTGAAGAACAGGCCCCCACACTGCTGAGATGGGTCAGAGAGAAGGTGATGTGCTCCTCTCCTGGCTCTGCTCCTTGCCAGCTCCATGAAGATTTGCACAAGCCATTAAAATCCTTGAGTCTCTGTTTCCTCATCTGTGGTATGGGGATATTAATACTGCATTATAGAGCTCTCAGGAAATTTAAATGATAAAATAGAAGAAAAACACTTTGAAATTTTGAGTTAATGTACAAATAGGAGGAGGTGGTGGTAACGCTGTGTAGGCCCCTTGGCTGCCTGCAGGGGATGAGGGAAGGGGGGAAATGTTTCCCAAGTTCTCTCCCTTTGCTGAAAGATGTCACCAGGGCTCCTGCTGTTCAGCCTTAGGAGGTGTGTTTCCCTTGTCCACATCAACTCCTCCAGCCTCAGGGCACCGGGCACTCCCCCAGGCCTTTCCCATGGTGGCCAGGCCATGGGCTGCCATAGGCTGAGGTCCAGCCCCAGCCTTCCTGGGCCTACAGCCTCCTCCTGGGGTTGCCCACGTGAAGGGGCTCCTCCAGGAGGGTGGGCAATGGACAACCACACTGGGCCTAGCTCCAGTACCCAGTGCTGCCATCTGAGAATCAGACCAGGAGGGCCCATTTCAGGCAAATTCAGTTCTGAGCTCACAGGTGAGCTCCATGGCCCTGGAGAGGTTTTCCAAGCTACTGTTTTGTACACCCGTGGAAGCAGTTAGAACCACAACTTAAGATGAGAGCAGAAGTCTTTCATGTAACAGCATTGAATAGTGTACTAATGATAGTAATATTAGAACAATAATAATTCCTATAACTAGGCAAGAAGAGTAATAACAATGGCTCATGGAGCATTCACTGTGTGCCAGGTACATGGTTTTCTGCCCATTACATGAATTTACTCACTAATCCTCAGTATATATCTATGTGAAAGGTACTATTACTACCCAAGAAACGGAGGCACAGAAAGGATAAATAAAACGTCTGAGGTCTCATGGACCTAGGAGGAAGCCCAGGGTCCTCTGACTTAGCAGCGGTGTCAATGAGGGTGATCCCACCCCTAGCGGCAACTTTAGAACTTTTAGGGGGAGCTCAAGTTGTCTTGGAGCATAAGGAGGCCACACTCTTACTGGCAGTTAGTGGCAGCAACGCACGGGACAGGTTTCCACAATAATTACTGGTCCTATGTCCTGCACACTTCTATAATGTGCAAGTGGGCTACACCCGCTACAGGTAGAAGTCGTGAGATTCATAATAGTACTGAAGGTTTTATAAGCTTCCAAGGGTTTTTTATAAGTTTCACGAATTAGTAAGTTAGGAGATGGTTATTATGGAGAAGGAACTTTAAATGGAATCAAGACATTGTCTCAAAATTACTGAAGAATCTACCCCATGCATTGTCCACACAATACATTACAACACGTCAGCCCTGCGTGTTTGGCTGAAAGCGGTTCCAGTGCAGCAGGGTCTTGCTGAGTAAGTCAAGGCCGGACAAAAATAGCAGGAGACTGAGAGAACCAAACAGCACCAAAGCAAAGATACTTGAAACGCAGGGGTTCTCGCTGGGTCTCTTTAGTAAATGCTTTTAGAAATTATTTCATATTATAGCTATCCTTTATATTTTAAAAGGCTTTGCAGCCGGGGAAGAGCACCTGTGTTGTAAGGATTCCACGTGGGTGGTTTGGTTTGGGGGAGTTGCCTGCTGGTTTTTTCTCTTTCTCTAACGCTGTCCCCAAGGTCCACATGCAGTGGCTTTCAAGCACTTGTGTGACCATTTCTCATTCCAATCTGTCCTCTATCCCATTGCCTATTGGAAATATATGAGCTCCAAGCCTTTTAAGATCCTGCCAACCGAATTTGACCTGAATGCAGGATGGCGTCTCGGGACAGAGATCTGCGTGCCAGTGAGCGCCACCATTAACCCACTCGGCGCCGTAACACGAGCTGCTCAGCAGCACACGCAGGACCCAGCTCCTCGCACGCGCATCGCGCCTCTTCATCCCCACTTTGCCATCTCTAACTTGCCTTGCTTTATTATGCCTGCTGCAGCTTAGGTCAGTTCCCTCTTTCTCTTTTTACGTGCAAGCACATCGGGTCCGCTATTACTCGCCTAACATTAATTTCTATTCTAGTATCTATTCCCTATTACCTTTGTTGTTGTTTTTTAATTACATAATGGCCCTGGCCTTCTATTTCTCTTAAATCCAAATACATTGATTATAAGTAGGTGCAAGTAATCTGCCTATTTCATTTATGGCTTCTGGTAAGTCTTGCCTAGGCATTTATATATTGAGAGACATTGTGTCTTATTATACATTATTTTTTATTTATTATAATTAGCTTTATTTGCATTTTAAAAATGATGCATGTAGATTGGTCATATCATCTATGAGCTTCATTTCAGGATAGAGGGGACCTTATAAAAGGGATGCTGCCTCTAATGGGGTTGAGAACCGCTGCTCTACAGTGGGAAAAATGTGTTAGGAACTACCTACCCCTCCTTTTTAAGGCCCACAGAGGGAGGAAAGGACACACCCATGTCTATTCAGCTGGTGGGTAGACTAGAACCAGGCTTCCTCAACAGTCCAGCCCTACCCCAAGTCCAAATTCATCTTTTATCTTCCACAACTCTACCCCACAGTCCAAAGCTGGTTGAAGCCCTTCGTGTCTAACTCCCCCAGGGTGCTTCTGCCCTGGGTTTAGCTGAGTCTGAGACTAGCAGCAACAGGTTTTCTCAGTTCCTTGTCGTCCCCTAGTGAATAGCATGGGTACTAGCGCAAAACAAGCGAACTACTTACAAGGTGAATTTTGTACTTTTCCAAAAAGAAACACAGATTCCAACTCTTCCCACACACCTCCAAACCCAGCCGGGAGCCTGGGCGCTCCTAGGCCTCAGTTCTTTAATATACAGTCCGAGGTTTGCCAAGGAGTAGAAATCAACTGAACTCAACCCGAAGGCATGGGGGTGACGGGGTGCGATGTAAGAGTCAGGTGGGATAGAAGATGCTCCAGATGGCCAGCACGTGGAGGGGCAG